TTGTATTGAAATACATATCCATAAAAATAAAATATTATACATTATAATATATAAATTATAATATGTTAAAGCATAATACCAAATAAAATTTAACACAAAACTTTTTTAAAAACATTTCAACAAAGCTACTTATTTCAAAACTATACTCAAAATAAATTATGAATGTTTACTTAATAATAATGGCTAATAATTAATTARGCAAAATTATTGATTATTTTGAAAAATGTAAATACTATTGTTATACATTTAAATATACTAATATTATATTTGATATTAGTATAATGTATAAAGTATAACAATAGAAATATTTATAATATGTTATCTTTATTAATAATTCACACATTATTATTACTATTATTATTTATTATTTTTTTCAGTCACGTACATATATTATCATTATTTATTTATTATATTAATTATATAATATTATTTATTATTTATTATATTAATTATATAATATTATTTATTATTTATTAATATTAATATATTATATTGACTTAAAAGCCCAAAAGTACAATACAATAGTAATAAATACATATAGACAATAAAACATAATTATTAAAATAAACAGCAATTTAATGAAACAAATAAACAAATGGTAATTATATTTTTAAAGAAAAAGTTTAATTAATGGTAAAGACTGCAGTACAAATTATTAATGGCTTGGACAAAAAAGAATACCCGATTCTTTCTTCCTAGTAACAATATTAATACTAAAAGTCTAAAACCATTTATCAAGTACGTAAAATGAATGATATTTCTAATCCTAGCAAAAGACACAGATTGGCATTTTACCTATGTCGAAGCTTAGTCCTATAAAATTAAACCACAGGRCAAGAAAATCAAGCTCTTAAATATTGTATGTAACTTAACAAAAAAATAAATAATAATTATAATATGATAATAACAATAAATTACAATATCATGGAATAAGTGACAAATGTAATATACTAATTATATAATTTAATGCACTAAGTGAACGCATAAAAACCAAAAATGAGATTCATTAATAAATCAACTTTATTCTTTAACCAAATAAACTTAGAATATGCATCGTGATTTAAAAAAGTTTTTCTCAAGAAAAAATCTTTTGCTTAAAAATCAAACGATTAAAAATACTTTTTAATAATTTAGAAGTGAGTCAGTCCTGGCGTGAAAAAAATACATGAGCCTATAAACATTTAAGTGAAATCTTTTATTTTAAATAGATCATTCAATTAATGAACTATATTCTGATTTTGATCACTTGAAATCAAAATAAAAAAGGAGTTTCATGAATCATTTGATTACTGTATAAACAAATATTTCTTGTAGTATTTCTTGTATCTTGATCATTAGTATTTGGTTAATAATTGTGCATTAAAACCGATTGTTATTGTTGATTGTAGTAACAGGTTTGTGCTTTACAACATATAATTGACACAAATCAGTAGGTCTGGACAATGGGCATATGYAATGAATGAGAAGCTTGTGGTGAAATATAGTTTACCAGTGACATTAGCCTCATATTGAATATGTTTTGATGTAATTTAAGATCTGGATGTTTGACCACCATAGGAGTCTGAAAAACCTGAATGTTAGTATAACATAAAATATACACAGACACATTTTTATTTATTACAACTTACGAGTCGTTCAATCAAAGAGGCCATCTTATAGCATACCAGCGTACAATGAGGAGTAACTATAGTCTGTTGTTACAAGTTGTTAATTCAAAGCAGCATTACATTGGCTGAAACATAAGTGCTAGATCTTAGAAATATGATATGTTCT